CATACCAAATGACTACATACTGACATTTCTAAAATAGTCCTGTAAGGCCTCATAATTCGAGCAGCAACAACACTATTTCATGATTATTGCTGTATTTTTTCCATACGATTGCCGTTTCTGATTCTGTGCCCCTTCTCCTATGTTGCTGGATATCTCCAAAAAGGACCGACATTACTCTTATGTCACGAACAACCTATTCATTACCGATTAAGATCGTATGTCGCAATTCAATCTTTAATTTTGGGATAGATGCAAAAAGCTCCATCTGCGATAACTTTCTCAATTTCCTTTTTTTATACGTAGGCAGAAACCTATAGAACTGGAAAAAGCGGTCGGAACCGCCAGTTCTGAATGTACGAAGTTCGACACGGTTAGGAGAGGAGGCCGAAGTTAGGCGGGTCTGTCTGGCAGGCACATTCCGTGTCTACATCATGAAGGAGATCTCCAGGAGCAAAGCCCGTTTATATGGCGGTAGAAGAAAGCTAGATCACCGACGGCCTCTCGGTGCGAAAGCTCCCAAGACTGTCCGTTAGAAAAGAGTAATCGATCAGTCGCACAGCCCTTCTCTGAACAGCAGCTTAAGGGCTTAACTGAACCAAGTGCAGAGTGAGCAGGTCGTGTGGAGGAAAGTACTTTTTAGTCCTAAACAAATAGCCTAGCTGCCGCTATTGACAAGATGTGTTCGTGCCAGATCAAGTTCTCGGTTATCTGGACTCCGACCAGCCGAAACACCTCTTTGGCGTTTGTTGCAGGTAGCGTCCAATTCTGAATCAAATTTTTGAATTATTACACCCTGTGTGTCATGGTATGGCTCAACTTCGCCATGCTCCTTACAGCATTATGTCATAAACAACCAATCATTCATTGAAAAATTGAAGCCTTATATTTTTTTCGCTTAAATCACGATATCGTCTTATTTCGAATGATCATTGTTGATGGTAAAACGGGGAAAATTTTTTATACTTCTTTGAGTGACCTGAATGAAGGAGAGGATGCTGACTGTGATTATGGTTTTAACAGGAGGTAAACACTTAGTAGAGCTTGTTAGAAATATGATGCTGACCATACTTAAGCGACTTTTACTTGATACGCCACTGGGCTCGGATTTTAATGAAATCTCCACAAGGACGCAAGAGCCTTGTGGTTTTTGAATGTCGGTCCAGTGGTGGCGGGGCTAAGGGCAAACTCATGATAAAAAGAAAAATATCTCAAACCTCGTTTCAGATGGTCCCGATCATTTCAGAAACATTTTTATAGAGGTTGAAATTTGGTGCTTTGGGGCTGTCGGGGGTGGGGGGCCCAACTAACAATTATCACTCCTATTAGAGTTGCAAGAATGATTATACAGTATTCCTTAGACAGCATTGTATACTGTAAGAACATTGGCAAAACCCTCTTAGAACAGCTATACAAGCGGAATGGGCACACCTAATAGGACACTTCAGTCATTTAAGAGGTTGTATAAGGGCTGCAGGTAACAGTTATAAAACAAAAGTGTAAGCCTCTTGCAGCCGCTATAGGACATTTGCGTCAGTGTAAGATTCAGTTTTTGTCAACTATACAACTATTCTGTTACGTGATTCTACTTTATTGCAACCAAACTATTTCTTATGTATTGTATAGACGAAGAACAATATATAACTAACACATTACAGTCATCTTGTTTACTTACATATCGGCCATTGTGAATTTCATTCACAGGTATATGATAAACTTAGACACTGTGATATAGGGCTATTGAATTACTTGCGCCGCAATTTTATTGTGATTATCGTGCAAAGTAGTTACGCAATTTCTACGGGCTTCGTATTTGATTCATATTTTAATAATGATCAAAAGTATCTCTAGATTTTTAAGATGGAAAACTGAACTTGTCTACGTTAAATCTTCCACAAATCCTATATTTAGACACAATTACACTAATGTTCATCACTTTGTATCTGTAATTTTGAACTGAAATATAATTATTTAATATTAAATAGAGGAATAAATGTTTTCCCAATATGGCGGGTGGTTGTGTATAATCATGGCATCGTCCATGTTGCCTTTAGTTTATTAGAATATTTTGATGTTACAACAATTTGACAAATGTCTGAAATGAAATACCGACAGAGTCGAATGATTTACCCAGAATTTGTACCAGATCTATATCTTCTGTTTGAACAGTTGATAAAGCCTTTTGAACCAATATGCATGCGTTGTTTGTCTTAAAACATTGGTTATGGCATTTTAACAAAAATACGACAGCAGAAAGTTAGGTTATGGTGAAGTTGTATACCACATATTTAGCAACAAATGTATGACGAGCACAGCAATTTTGTACTACAAAAGTTGTAATATTGTTGCATATGTACAGCCTTTAACAGTTACTAAACAACAGTTGTATAAGTGCTGCCGTTGGGAGCAATTTGTTGGGTAAAGTAGTAAATTTGCACAGCAAAACAGCAAGGCTCGGATTTATTTTATAAACGTTACCATGGATGCTACAACAAAACCAGTTTGACTAACATGCAAATATGTCGTATAAAATAGTTGTATAAACGTTTATGCAACAGTTAAAAATTTATCCTATAAGGTGTTGTATAACTATGCTATAAGAATATTTTAAAACACCTCATTTTAGAGCAAATATGTTGCAGAAAGCAAATTTGCATTCCACACAACATTAAGCCAGCATTTTGGTGTTCAGGCAACAACAATAGAGATCTTTTATGGCTGAACGGTTCTTTTACCAAAAGCTTATAGCACTACCTTGCTAGTTGGGGGGTGGTTAGATGAAAAGAAATTGTTGTTAGTATATTTGCCTTTAAGACTTAGAATGACAGAGAAATGTTTTCAATTCGCGTACTCATGCTATCTAAGCTCACCGCCCGGCGTTCCGGTCCGCATACTATCAGCACTGCAGCGCACGAAACATATGCAAGTAATGAACGATAACTCACTGCAGCGGTGCCGCGGTGGGCGCTGCCGCACATTTGTCGAAAGGGGCCACATTGCCAGATGGACAGTAACTAGCGGTCGGGCGGGGAAAAATGTAAACGGAAATTGTATGGACTAGTTTGACTGACTTGATTTGTTTAATTTCTCTGTTGTAGGTGTTTGAAACTGACTCTCTTCTCAAAGGATTTAAATTGCGCTACTTGACGCCATTCTTTATCGCTACAATTTGATTCCAAAAAAATATTTTGTTTGTGAGAGTTTGCATACGTATACAATAAGTGGATCCTAATTTAGCGGACGTTTTAAAACACTTGGGAGCATCTCTTGACAAATCGCAGGTAGCTGAAAATGTGAGGTCTATAATATGAGGACAAGAGAACTCTAATTTTCCTGCTCAATGTATACTAAGTGACATATAAATCCGAACACCCAGTTTAAATGGTTTTATTTTAATAAAAGTTGGTGAATGTATTTATCTTACTGTAAATAACAAGTGAAAAAATTTTCAGCCTTATCAGTTGGACATTCCGGTTTGTATACTGCTTTTTTTTAATTCACTAACGCTCTAAAAATGAATATTTCAGCCGCAGTAAAGAATCAACGTTGGCGGATTTTGGTTCTTGACATCCTTTACGATCGGTTACGATGCCTAGAGTACGGAGACCTGTACGATTTCGTCAACTTAGTGAGTTTGATAGGGGCCGTATAGTGGGACTTCGGGAAGCTGGACTTTCTTTTCGGGCAATTGCAGTTAGAGTGCAAAGAAGTGTAGACACTGTGGTTAGGTGTTGTCAGGCATGGCTTCGAGAAGGCCGTACCTAAAGAGCAAGGGGCACTGGACGCCGCCGTAGAACAACAGACCGTGAAGATCGCCGCCTAAGATTATTGGCCTTAAGGGACCGTTTCTCCACTACCAGGACCATTGCAAATGAATGGTTTGCAGAACACGGAAGACCTACTGGCATGCGAACTGTTTACCGACGAATGAGAAGTTTTGGCTTGTTTTCATACCGGCCACACTGGGTCCTCCCTTTAACTCGAGAACACCGACGTAATCGCCTTGACTGGTGCAGACAACGGTCACTCTGGGATCAGGAATGGAACAGTATTGTCTTTAGTGACGAGTCTCGATTTTGTTTAGGCATGCACGATGGTCGTGCCAGGGTTAAAAGGTGACGTGGTGAAAGGAGGAATCCACAGTTTTTTGTTGAAAGACATGTTCATCACACTGTTGGAGTTATGGTTTGGGGTGCTATAGCTTATGGTTCCAGGTCACCTTTAATCTTCATCAGAGGTAGCATGAACGCGCAGCGTTATATCCACGAAGTTCTAGAACCCCATCTTTTACCCTATCTTGACACCCTGGCAGATCCAACTTTCCAACAAGATAGTGCCCGACCACATGTTGCAAAAGTCACAATAGATAATAATAATGATGTCACATTGTTACCATGGCCACCAAGATCTCCCGACTTATCCCCAATTGAGCACGTGTGGGATATGATGGGTAGGAGATTGCTCAATTTGCAACGTCCTCCTCAGACTCTAGAAGCACTTCGAGAGGAGTTGGTGGTTGCCTGGAATGAGATACCACAGGAGGACATTGACCACCTGATCAGAAGCATGCCTAGGCGCGTTGGAGAATGCGTAGCACATCAGGGTGCATCCACACATTATTAAAGGTCAAATGGCTTTAAAGCAGTGCAATCATTTTGAAATTTTTATCATTTACTTATTATGCTTCATTAAGTACTTATACAAAATTTTATTAAAATAAAACCATTTAAACTGGGTGTTCGGATTTATATGTCACTTAGTATATTTGAGTGAAGAAAAATTGTTCTGCAGCCTGGTCATTGGTGACGTACAAGTATTTTTTTCGTACGTATGCGCCGAGTATATTTAACATAAAAAGTCCCTCGTTTTCAAACAGGTGCAGTGTGAAAGTCGCTGTTGTTATAAAGCATAAAATTTTATATATATGGTTCTAGGGAAAGGCCGATAAGATTTTATATAAGCGTTTACGCACTTTGCGGGAATTTTTCACTTGCGCTACTCACATTTTTCACACATAAAATCCAAAAGTTTAGTTCCACATCACAACCACAAATATCGAGTTCGTAAAAACACGTGTATAGCCAAAAGCGATAAAAAAATCGAAACACTAAATAGAGTATGTGACAGGTTTTCTGCCGGAGTACAAACTGCTGATAATTCTTTCGCGCATTCGCTTATCTCTCCGCTATAGCCATAGCAGCGATGGGTGCTGCGAACTGCTGGTACTGCCGGCAATGGTAATGGATCCACGGTCGCACCTATGGGTACCACATAATCATGCTGCACTGATTAACTCATTCGCGAAAATATACAGGGTGATTCACAAAATAATTAGAATATTCTAGAGTACAAAGTACATTCGAAAATAGCATAGTTTCAATAAATAATAGTACTTGAAATGTCCCATGACCGGAATGGATGTTGTGACGGCACATACTGTGGATATAATATGAATATCCAAATACTGTTTTGCCATTGTGTAGGGGTTGTTTCCGGCAAAAGTTCCTGAAAGTTCCGAGAGTTTTACTTCCCACGCCTTCTGGCGGGCGGCGAATCGTCGAATACGAGGGATGTCTTTTAAGTTTTGCGTATAGAAACATAGTAGGCCGCGCGGATCGAACGTCAGTACTGAATCTTAACCTCACTCTTTAGTAAACTTAAATTCAAAGTTACACAACAATAATTGCAGTGTACTCACTACAGTGAATTATTAAATATCACCAAGTCATTAGAAAAATGGAACTCAACCGAGAACATTTTCGCGCCATAATTTATTACAACTTTCAGAGACAATTATCGCAAAAAAATGCCTTGCTGAGTTACTGTCTGTTTTCGGCAACGAAGCGCCACATCAGTCGACAATTTCCCATTGGTATGGAGAATTCAAACGTGGATGTGTGAGTCTTAGCGACGATCCCCGGGTGGGTGCACCAAAACGACAGTCACCCAGGAAAACGTCGATGCTGTGCGCAAACTCATCATTGAAGATAGACATGTGACATATCGCGAGATTGAGGCGTCCTTGAAGATCTCAAATACCTCAATTCAAAAATTTTCCATGAAGAATTAGGAGTAAGAAAATTAGTTACTCGTTGGATACCCCACCCGTTGACTGAAGAGCAAAAAGCAGCCAGTTATGAATCGGGGATTTACTGTTATGAACCAGAAAATAAACGACAGTCGGCTGTTTGGGTGTTCCAAGGTGAAGAAAAGCCAACAAAAGTCATCCGTTCTCGAAGTGTTTCGAAAAAGATGGTCGTGCATGCCTAAACAAAATCGAGATTCGTCACTAAATACAATACTGTTCCATTCCTGATCCCAGAGTGACCGTTGTCTGCACTCAAGGCGATTACGTCGGTATAAGGGTTAGAAGGCGACGTGGTGAAAGGAGGAATCCACAGTTTTTTGTTGAAAGACATGTTCATCACACTGTTGGAGTTATGGTTTGGGGTGCTATAGCTTATGGTTCCAGGTCACCTTTAATCTTCATCAGAGGTAACATGAACGCGCAGCGTTATATCCACGAAGTTCTAGAACCCCATCTTTTACCCTATCTTGACACCCTGGCAGATCCGACTTTCCAACAAGATAATGTTGCAAGAGTCACAATAGACTTCTTTCAACATAATGATGTCACATTGTTACCATGGCCACCAAGATCTCCCGACTGATCCCCAATTGAGCACGTGTGGGATATGATGGATAGGATTTGCAACGTCCTCCTCAGACTCTAGCAGCACTTCGATAGGAGTTGGTGGTTGCCTGGAATGAGATACCACAGGAGGACATTGACCACCTGATCAGAAGCATGCCTAGGCGCGTTGGAGAATGCGTAGCACATCAGGGTGCATCCACACATTATTAAAGATCAAAGGGCTTTAAAGCAGTGCAATCATTTTGAAATTTTTATCATTTACTTATTATGCTTCATTAAGTACTTATACAAAATTTTATTAAAATAAAACCATTTAAACTGGGTGTTCGGATTTATATGTCACTTAGTATATTTTTGACAAAAATGGACTTAATCTAGTCTGGCTCTGGGGTACAGATATGCAAAACTTAAAAGACATCCCTCGTATTTTCTAAACAGATAGTTCTTTTTTTAGATGTTATATGACATGTACATCACGTAAAACTATGTCACCGCTGACGGCTCGGATTTCGATGCAATTTTAAATCGCTTAAACTTACTTTTTTTGACGTTTCAGAGGATCCTGATCATTTTAAAAAAAAATTATAGGCAAAAAAGTATCTCAATTTTCTGATGTTAGTACATTTATACGCTCCCAATTTTGGCAATTATACCTGTATGCAACCTATTAGACATATTTCACACATAATACATTTCTCCTTACATTAGCCCTTAAAACTAAAAAATATTCTCAGCGGACAGATCACTAGCTACAGCTCCCGGCGGCGTGCCGCAGGCCTAGGTGGGAGGTGAGGCGACGTTGCCAGATGGATGGTACTACCGGTAGGGCAGGGAAAGAGAATGTCTATAGACTGATTTTTTCATAGAAGCTTTACGTATTAATCAACCACTAATTTCAACTACTTGCCTCAGATCTTAAAACATTACCGGTACAAATGTTTAGGGTAGCGCTTAAACAATATTTGTACGATAGACACATGCGAGTCATGCGCGTATCATAACAAGCTAATAAGTAGGATAAGTCAGTTCGTAGTATAGAGATAGGTCTGTTTATTTCATTTGTCTATTTGTCATTTTAAAATCCAGTGAACCACATCTACATAAGGTTAAGTGTAAGAATAGCTTTAAGCTAAATCTCGCCTTAAGTAGATAATGGTAATAAAGACGATTACGAGGGATGCATATGGAAATAAAACAACACGGTAGGTAGTTTTAAATGACTTTATTGTTATTCGAAGTATTCTCCACGAAGATTAATACACCTGCATGCGCTCGAACCAATTTTCGAAGCACTTATTCCACTCGTTTGCTGGCAGATCCAAAACGGCATTTTTGAATGCGTCAACTGCTTCTTCTGGTGACTGGAACCTTTGACCACGCAGTCTGTTTTTAATTTTCGGAAAAGTAAAGAAATCGTTAGGACTTAAACTGTATCCATCGAAGAAACAAAGTAAAATCAAACATATACACCCGTATTGCACGTGATCAAGAACTTAACCGTAGGAGACGCTACAGGGCCGTATCAAGCTATTGTGACTGATCTATCAAAAAATGTCGTACAAGATATGTGTTGCTGTAAATTCTATCAAAAGCATAGTAAATTATCAGGAATATACCACGCCTTTCTAATCATATTTCGACATTAGGAATCAGTGCAAAAAATTCTGTATTCACCATTTCAGCAAAATGTTACTACAACGCACACGAAAAAACTTGTGGACCATCTCAATTGAAATTGTTCATATTTTATTATTAACTTACATATATACCCAATAATATTTACAAATCAACCTTCTATTCACAATGCAGAGCAAATTTTTTTGAGCAAATAGAAACTACAGACGTAGTAGTAGTAGTACAAAAGTTTATTACAGACTCCATAAAGTTTGTTAGTTTGATTGCTATTAACATTTACATGAGAAATAGGAAGAAGGTCAAAATGGCACTATTATGCTTTGGAACTCCTAAATTAACCCTAATTTTGTGTAATTATAAATTTGGAATTTCCACATTAATAACTAGAAACTTACACTTTGATTGCAGTCTATAATGAACTTACCTGTCTTGCCAAAAAGCCCGTTTAAACTGCCAGTCTTAATGGTATCAATCGATTTATATGCTGTATTCCGAGGAGCTTGAATCATCAGAATTGTTGATGTCAATTATAAGGGGTTCAACTTGGGTGTCAATGATATTGTCCATATTCCACATTTTGGTTTCAACCTTCTCTTGGACATGGTCAATACATGTTCTCCATTTTGCTGGCGTAATTCTATCGACAGCAACATAAAACAGTTTTTTAAGGTCAGAAAACTTAAAAGTGCTGTTATTTGACGCCACGTATTGCTTGATGTCGGCCCAAATCAACTCGATAGGATTCAGTTCGCAGTGATAGGAAGGCAGCCTGAGAATCGTTTTATTTTGGTTTTTGGCCATTTCGTCAACAATTTTTAAATCATATTTATACTTATGTCGCTTGACTATATTTATCAGCTCAGCTTTGGCCATTGTTTGGTCGAAGTCGATCTTCTTTGAGACAAGCCACTGTTGAATGTCTGCCCTTTTGGTGGCCATTGTTGGAATTTTCTCCAATTTTCTGGAGTGGTACGGGGCATTATCCATCACAATAATTGCGTTATTATCAAGTGTCGGCAAAATTTTTTTGAACCAATTTTCAAATGAGTTACCATCCATTTCTTCGTGATAGTCTCCAGTTTTTTTTGATTTTTCTAAGGTATTCTCTCCTCCAGATAACAATTTCCTCCTTTTCTATCATTAAACTATTCCTTCCTCTTTTCAAAAATCGAAAGTCTAGTTCTTTCAACAGCTTATGGAACGTAGATCTTTTAAAATTTGGCAGGTCCTCATCATCATTCACTTGCTTCAATATTTTATCTATTGTAGGTATTTCATTCCTGAAGAAAAAGTGATGTACTTTTCTTCTAATGGCACTTTTGTCAAAGTCATCTATTTTTTCGATGGTTTTTTTCTCGCTGGATATGTTTTTGGCTCAGATAGTGAGTGATTTTGTCTATATTCCTTCAAGATTTTGTAAACACTTGATCGACCTACTCCAGAAATTTCAGCAACCTTACATACGATATTTTCTATAGCCAATCCACTATTCTCTTGCATCTGGTTCTTGTAGATATTTAGAATAATTTGTTTTTCACCTGCGCTAAGATGAAGCTTTTTAGCCCTTTTTCTGGGTGGCGTTAAGCTGATTTCAACCACTTCATCAGCTGTATCTGTGTCAGACATTTTAGACTAATATTAAATTTCCGCAAGAAAAATCAAGTCAAGACGTGCATAAAACGTTCGCGCTCATAAACGGGTATCCGTAACTGATTACAATCCTGTGCGTGGTGACGAACCATCAACGTGACGCTGAGAGTTCCCTCTACTATGCAGCGTTGCCAGGCTTAATGTCACAATGATCATGTTTTATTGGGAAAATTGTCCGAAATCGCCGAATGTTGAACAGAAACATTACAAGAAGTCTAACCTTGAAATGTGAGGCTACAAATCGATATTCTTATAGGGGGGAAGGGTAAGGAGCTGTTATGGTTCCTATTAACCTTGGTGAAAGTTGGAAACGGTAATATCATATATGGCATACATTCGGTTGAAGGTGTGTGCACGGAAAATAGATTGCGGATAGGATTTTAATAGAAAAATGTGCACAAAAAAACACAAAAGGAGATTTTTGTATTTCCCTGAAGAATATCTCAAGGTTATTTCAGATGTACTCATCGAAACTTTATGGAAGGATTATCGAAACCTTATTTTCAATTGCGATAGGGCCACATACCTCGACATCGCATTAATGTGAAAAATAAGACAATAGAAAAAAATTCCCTCACTGATGCTATCTCTTAGGAAAAATTTAACTATAAAGATTGCACAAAAATTTTCTTCACCTTTTTGAGCTTGTTTTCGCATCTCCGTATATGCCGTTCATAATTTGCTGCAGATCAAATTGGAATATACCTTTGTGATGCCATTTATTGTTATATAATGTCCTTTACAACAGTTATTGCTCGTATTGCACCAACAGATTGATTTGTGATCCATGCGAATGTGATCAACCATTCTGGCGAAAACTCGCCGAGCGTGGCAACCGTGCGACTTTGTCTGGAGGCTCGTCGCTACAAGCCAATCAGGAAGAGGCCGACAGAGCGTCATGGCTACCGATCACGCGTTGATCACGAATCAACCACTGTTTACGATTACTTTGTAGCTTCGTTAGATACACTTTAGATCGGGACTATATGGAGGATGGTCCAATAATTCCACGTTTTCTTCCGTTAAATACTGCCTTGTGTTTTTGGGCTGTGTGCGAGCTTGCATTGTCTTGGTGGAGGATGATTCTTCTTTCGGGGTCGATTTTTCGAGGCTCGGTGATGACTTTTGGCAAACAAATGGTGGTATACCAATCCGCAGTAACAGTTCTTTGCTCATTAAGAGGAATTGTTGCAATATGACCCGCTTTTGAAACAAATGTCACGACCATCTTTTTCGAAACACTTCGAGAACGGATGACTTTTGTTGGCTTTTCTTCACCTTGGAACACCCAAACAGCCGACTGTCGTTTATTTTCTGGTTCATAACAGTAGATCCACGATTCATCACCACTAACAATGCTGTACACATTTTTTAAGTTTCCAGAATTGAAACGGTCAAGCGTTTTTTGACACCAATTAACCCTGGCTGCTTTCTGCTCTTCAGTCAACAGGTGGGGTATTCAACGAGAAACTAATTTTCTTACTAGTAATTCTTCATGTAAATTTTTTGAATTGAGGTCTTTGAGATCTTCAAGGACGCCTCAATCTCGCGATATGTCACATGTCTATCTTTTCTTGCACGCACTCTGGGATCGTCGCTAAGACTCACCCGTTCACGTTTGAATTCTCCATACCAACGGGAAATTGTCGACTTATGTGGCGCTTCGTTGCCGAAACAGACAGTAACTCAGCAATGCATTCTTGTTGCGATAATTGTCTCTGAAAGTTGTAATAAATTATGGCGCGAAAATGCACGTATTGTTGTGAAACTTTGAATTTAAGTTTACTAAAGAGTGAGGTTAAGATTCAGTGCTGACGTTCGATGTGCGCGGCCCTACTATGTTTCTATATGCAAAACTTAAAATACATCCCTCGTATTATTATTATCATTATTATGAATATTATTATTAAGTGTATGAACCCGTTTGACTGACTTTTTTCTCAGAGGATCTAGTTTGTGCTAAGCATATCCTTTATGGCGTTGCGTGGGAAGTGCAGAGTCAATCTACTTGACGCCATTTTTATAAGCTTTTATTTAACTTTACCTGTTGGTATGGGAAAAATCTTGATCCAGTTAACCCTACCCAATAGAGCTGAAATTTTATATACACGTTTAAACGTGACAATACAAAATTAATTGAACGCTGCCATCTTGAATACAATATGGCGCATGGAACAAAATGACTTATAATTTCAGTAGGGGTATCAAATTAAAGGGCTTGAATAGAGGAATACAATAAATAAAGTGGCCTCGTTATAAGGCCAATATGGTGACCACCACAAAGTGGCGATTTACATGTTCTTTCATCATTTGAGCTGTTTTATATCGCGGTTCTTATGACACACAATAAATCAAATACCGCCATTTTTAATCCAATAATAACACTTGGCGAACCTTCTCCATCCAGCATGTAGGTTCGGACGCTTCTTGTTATAGAGTTCTGAGTCTGATAAGTATCAAGCTCTACTGCTTGTACTGCAAAGCTCTTTTATATATTTTGCAATTGCAAATTAATTCAAATTCCTATTAAAAATAATCGAGAATTCGTAAACGATGCGATTCTTGTGACATCCAGTGTAAGAATCAATGGAAATATTATTTTATCTCTAGACATAAAATAACAAAAAAGATATATGTAGCAACAACCTTTTCTCTCTGTGATAACAGTCTACAGTTATTTATTTACAATAATACTTTGTTTGAATTAATGGAATAATACAATAAATAAACGATATAGGAAGTACAGGGTGTCCAGTGGAAAAGTTCACTTTATGATATAAGAAAAAAGTACGAACAATTTATAAATTCGGCGAGCTTTATTTCTTAAATATCATTCCGTACAAATGTTTTTTATCCCTTCCCTGAAACACTCTCTTGCAGATTCCAATGTTCGTGGATTATTGGAATTCACTTTTGATGATAACCCCACAAAAAATAATCGCATGGCGTGAAGTCGGGTGACCTAGGAGGCCAGTGAAACTTCGATATAACTTTTTGAGGAAACAGTGCTTTCACCATGTCCATCGATTCTCTGGAAGTATGGGCAGTGGTCCCATCCTGTTGAAACCGTGTGTTTATGCTAAATCGACGTTGAATGGCAATGCATGACCGTTTTCATCTTCAAAGAAATACGACCCAATAATACCGCTAGAGGTTATGGCGCACCAATCACCTTTGGACTATGTAGCTAGTGTTGATGTTTCTCTTTTGGGTTCGTTGGTACCCAATATGCAATTTTACTTGTTCACATAACCGTCTAAGTGAAAATGGGCCTCGTCACTGAAAACAACGTTCTCGAGTCTGTGCTGCGTGGGAAAGAGTTTCGACATCCGTTCAGCACAAGATTTCCGTAGCACGTAATCAGTTTCCTTTAAGGCGTGGACTGATTGGATTTGATAAGGATGAAAACCCATTTTTTTTTTCTTCATTATGCCATGCAGTGTTGACCTAGGGATTCCCACAGCAGCCTAATGCATCCTTACAGAACGGCGAGGATTTGCAATGACCGTATCACTTACTCGATGCACATTTTCTTTGGTTGATACATTAGGTGTGGGGCCAGGAATAAGTAGACTAAGAGTTGAGCCTGTTTGACGTAACCTCTTAATCCACTTTTCCAAAAGGTTCCTACTTGGGCCATCTCTGTTAAAGTAAGCCTCGATAGCAAAAGCACGTTGTGCTCCGGTCCAACGTTTCATTGTGACTATTTAACCCGCACGCCGAACGCGTCGATCAACACCTCTCCCCACTTCCTCGCGTATACGGTTGCCGCGTAGTTCAAATTTGAAATGTGAACTCTCCCACTAGGCACCCTGTATTTTAACGTTTAATACTCGACAACATTTACTAAAGACCTTTTTCATCTCGATCTAACTGAACTTGCAATCTGATTACCCCATGGGATCGTTAAAACTAACCTCAGCATTTTCATTAAGCGCTATCTACTGTAGTTTTTCGTCCAAACAAAATCTTGACAGTTGAATATCGCCAGCTCTTGGAGTAGTAGACGTAGATGCATGTCTAACAGTAAGTCCTTAATTTTTTTTTTGAAATTTTGGTTCGTGATAGCCAGGTAGGCGAATTATGTATGTGTATGAGAAATTAAGCATTCAACAAATAAAATAATTTTATTAGACAAAACCGAAGCGAGATAGTAAACAATAAATACAATGCATTTATATTTACTTTTAATGGCTTTTCCAAAAACAATATAACCTAGAATAATGTCACATATGTTCTCATACAATATAGTAGATATAACGATGCTGAAATACAATATATTACATTTTAAACCAGGAAATTGCAGTGGTACCGTTCCTGGACAGTATGGTGGATGCTTAAGGTATTCAAGATTATTTTGAAAAAATTAATAACCAGCCAGTTCAGCGAAGGTGGAGTCCATCTCATCGGCCAGGGACTTGTATCTGTCTTTGTTGATGCCAAGTTCATCTAGAAAAAAATATATGTCAGCAGTCTGAACACCTAGTAAGTGTCAAAGTTACAGAGTATATTCAACACCAGGAAAAAATCTGGGAAACATTGATCAAACCCGATGGATGCCAGCGAGTCGTTAATGTGTAACAGAAACGGTGTTGGGTCTTGAACCGATCTCTGGGGAATACCTGCATTACGACGGATTGATAAGCTCCTAAAACACTATGGAGAACTGTTGGTATCAGTGGTACTACTCCCATAGGGGAAATGTCTACGGAGATCATAAGAACGGTGCATAGTAATTAGAGTGATTACATAATAAGCTGGTAACATTTAAACCTGGGATTCTGGAGTTTGAGAAGTACGTATAGGTAATGACACACTGCGTAATTCTTTTGAGGACAATGCTTTTCTGAGCGACACATGAACTACCTAAACCCTATTCGTAGTCCATTTACGCTCCGGTACAACAAAGGTGCAGCCAGTGTTGCCATACGTAGCGGAATTCCGCTATTTGTAGCGGATTATTTTGAGAAGAGCGGCGGTAGAGCAAATTAGCCCAAAATGTAGCGGAATTTATTACATACAAAACTATCATATTTATTTCACTGTTTTAACGTTAATAACGTTCTAAATCCTAAATAGGCAGTGGCTAGAGTCTGATTTATTATCACATTAATAATAAAATTGGTGCATTTGGTGCCGCTTGAGCCATCTAGGAACAGAGAAGAGAATTATTCCACTTGCCTTTTTTTCAATAACAGATGGCGTACGTACTGCTTTCAATACTAAGCGTTTCTAACAGGTTTCAGCAGGCAGACATAATATTAGGTTTCTCGCTTTCTATTGTATTTTTCAGCTCTGGGTATATACTGTTTAGTTTCGTTTATATTAGTGTTCTTATTTTTGAGTTGATCATTTTATTGATATATCACTTGCTGCAGATTTTAATATTAAATCTACTGGTAAGTAACAAAACTGCTTAAATATCTAACATATTATAGTTTGATCCAGAAATAAATTTTAGTCGTGAAATTTGTTTTTAACGCTTTTTCTTCTGGAAAATAGGAATAATGGAAAGGCGACAGCAGACCATTAACGATTTTTTTGATAAAAATCCTTCTAAAAAACAAACGGTGAAACCAAACGTGGCCGTACCATCCACTTCGACTGCATCTGTGTCGGACTCGGAGCATCCCGAACCTGAATACAGACAAAATAGAAGAGCGGAATCTAGTGGAATCAGGTCTGAGCCTGATAATTCGACTTGCGAATCTCAGGTTAACGAAGAGCCAGAGCAACCTGTTAAGAAAAAGACACGAAAACAAATGTTTACTTCATCATGGCTAGAAGATCCGTTATTTAAAGGCTGCTTGGGACCTATTGAAAATGACAAGTTGAAAGCAAAATGTAAAGCTTGTAATCAAATAATGGGTGCTAAAAAATCAGATTTAGTGAATCATTCGAAATCAAAAAGGCATGCCACTAATGTACAAGCAATTTCGAATGTAAGAACGTTAGATAGCACTTTTCAGTCTCGGGAAGCACGTGAGTTGGAAAAACGGCAAATATTCGCTTGCTTAAGATATAGTCTTTTAGTTGTAAGTCATTATATAAGTTTTAGAACTGTTGATCATATAACAGGAGTTAGTGAATTATGTTTTAAAGACCCAGATCTCTCTAGCTCACTTAAATTAAAAAGATCCAAATGCATAAGTATAATTAAAAATGTGCTGGCTCCTGTTATTAAAGACGAAATAATTTCAGAATTGGAAATAAACCATTTTCTATTGTATTGGATGAGAGTACAGACCTGAGCAATACAAGACTACTATGCATTCTTGTAAGGTATATTCATAAAAATTCAATTAAAACTCATTTATTAGATATAATTAAAATAAACGCAGATGAAGGTACCGCCAAAGGTTTATATTCTCTTTTTAAAAAATGCGTTATATCCAATCAAGTAAAAATTACCAATATTGTTGGATACTGTTCCGACAACGCTAGTGTTATGATGGGCAATAACGAATCTTTCAAAACTTATCTTTTAAAAGATAATCCTAATATAATTGTCAATGGCTGCATTTGCCACTCTGCTCATTTAGTGGCGGTGGCGGTAGCTGAAAAGATTCCAAGCAACGTTGAAGCTCTTTTACAAAACTTATATTCTTACTTCTCGAGAAGCCCAAAAAGGCAGTGTGATCTTGAAGAATTACAGGAATATTTCAAAAAGTCAAAATTAACAATTTTAAGCCCTAGTAAAACAAGGTGGTTTGCTTTATCCAAATGTGTTGATAGAGTTTTGGATCAGTGGGACATCTTGCTTAGCCTATTTAGATTAGCTTCCATTGAAGACAAAAATCCTGTAGCAAATGTAATACTTAATGAGTTACAGAATCCATTTGTTAAGGCGTATTAAATGTTTTTTAAATTCGTGTTGCCCATTTTTAACCAATTTAATGCTCTCTTTCAATCAGAGAAAGTTATGCTCAATATCATATCAATAGAGAGTGAGCGATTTGTACGTCATCTATGTACAAACTTTATGCGACCAGAATATTTTAAAAATGAGAAATTATATTATCTAAATCCTAATGATCCCCACTGCTTATTACCAATTGAACAAGCGAATGTTGGTCCGCATACAATGGATTCAATAAAACACTGCAATAACACGGCAATCGAACAATTTAAATTAAAATGTGTCACATTTTACCAAAAATCGGTAGAAGAGTCCCTTATAAGATTTACTATCAAAGACAACTTCTTTTCAGAGCTAAAGTTTCTCTCACCGGTTGATGTGATGAACAATCGTCTTATAAGTGATACCTTTCATGAAGCCGTTTTAAAAAAATTTGCCCTTCATATTGAAACCGAAAAGGCAATTTTGGAACTAAAGAAAACATGTACTTATTTTAGTGATAGTGAGAACGAGGAAATTTTAAAAACAAAAAGTAATGTCATTGAATTTTGGTCGTTAGTAAACGACCACAAAAATTTTAATGACGAATATTTATTTCGCAATATAGGTAAACTGGCTCTAATCATTTTAACATTGTCTCATGGAAACGCTGATGTTGAGCGAACTTTCCTATATGCTTGATTACAAAACAAAAAAAGAAATAAAATAATACCATCAACTTTGTCTGCACTACTTACAATTAAATTAGACTTGGAATCAAAAAAACAGTGCTGTTTATCCTATAGTTTTAATGAGAATCATTTAAACAAATATAAAAAGAATTTATATAATGTAAATAAGGAAGAACAAGCTGAAGAAGAAGTAATTTGTGATTCTGACTGTGAATAAAATAAGCAAACGTAGGCATTTCCACGTTTCCGCTTCTTCTTTGTAGTTATTTTTTGTTTTTTTTTTCTATTAAGATTAAGATATTGGTGATAGTTTCTATTTTTTTAGTAGTTCCTAATTCTAAACCAAAGACAGTTTTGTTTTTTTAAAGGTATACTTTTTATGTTTTTACGAAAAATTGCAATTATATTATGTTACTGTTTGTATTTTTAGTAGGGTTTTTAGACAGTGTTTAAAAAAAAGTAAATATGTAAAAAATATATTTGTTGTTTATTTTAAGCCTCCCCCCCTTAAATTTTTAGACCGTAGCGGCATGTAGCGGAATTTTGCGATACGTGTGACGGATATTTTAAACTTCGCTCTGGCAACACTGGGTGCAGTGCGGAAAAGCGTTGCAATAGCTATTGGTCATTCGATCATAAAACTACGAACAAGTGCAGGATTCGATAGGATAGAACTCAGGCTTGGGGTAACGCCGGTAGTTGCTGTTCATATTCGGTGCATACATAGTATGTGTTTATACGTTAGCATGTCGTCCACGGATACAGCAGATGAAACTGAGATTATTTCTCCCAATGCTTCCTTTAGTCATGCTTCCTCTTCAGTGAGGTATCCTCCCCAAAAACGTGAAATGAAAATTCATGATATTGAAAGACTTTTGTGGCGAACAAAACAAGCTTATGTCCTAAGACAACTTTCAACATTGTTGAAGAATATAAAAAAAGCAAAAAAGTTGTCTCCACACAAGAGGCTGCATTACACGAAGCTGTTGGATACAGTTGATAACTTTGATCGGAATGCCATCGGACGCAAAAGCAGGAACTTCCCAGCATAAACAAAGTATTACAGGAGGTTGATAGTGACCTACCTACTTTCAAAAGGACCACATTCACTCAAATAACGGGGCAGAAAAATACTAAGTGACATATAAATCCGAACATCCAGTTTAAATGGTTTTATTTTAATAAAATTTTGTATAAGTACTTAATGAAGCATAATAAGTAAATGATAAAAATTTCAAAATGATTGCACTGCTTTAAAGCCCTTTGACCTTTAATAATGTGTGGATGCACCCTGATGTGCTACGCATTCTCCAACGCGCCTAGGCATGCTTCTGATCAGGTGGTCAATGTCCTCCTGTGGTATCTCATTCCAGGCAACCACCAACTCCTCTCGAAGTGCTTCTAGAGTCTGAGGAGGACGTTGCAAATTGAGCAATCTCCTACCCATCATATCCCACACGTGCTCAATTGGGGATAAGTCGGGAGATCTTGGTGGCCATGGTAACAATGTGACATCATTATGTTGAAAGAAGTCTATTGTGACTCTTGCAACATGTGGTCGGGCATTATCTTGTTGGAAAGTTGGATCTGCCAGGGTGTCAAGATAGGGTAAAAGATGGGGTTCTAGAACTTCGTCGATATAACGCTGCGCGTTCATGTTACCTCTGATGAAGATTAAAGGTGACCTGGAACCATAAGCTATAGCACCCCAAACCATAACTCCAACAGTGTGATGAACATGTCTTTCAACAAAAAACTGTGGATTCTTCCTTTCACCACGTCGCCTTTTAAACCTTCGCCCGACCATCGTGCATGCCTAAACAAAATCGAGACTCGTCACATTCCTGATCCCAGAGTGACCGTTGTCTGCACCACTCAAGGCGATTACGTCGGTCTTCTCGAGTTAAAGGGAGGACCCAGTGTGGCCGGCACGAAAACAAGCCAAAACTTATCATTCGTCGGGAAACACTTCGCATGCCAATAGGTCTTCCGTGTTCTGCAAACCATTCATTTGCAATGGACCTGGTAGTGGAGAAACGGTCCCTTAAGGCCAATAATCTTAGGCGGCGATCTTCACGGTCTGTTGTTCTACGGCGGCGTCCAGTGCCCCTTGCTCTTTGCGTACGGCCTTCTCGAAGCCATGCCTGACAACACCTAACCACAGTGTCTACACTTCTTTGCACTTTGCAAGCTGTCAACATAGTGGCGTCAAACTATTGGACAGATTGCATCCGTCACGTTCAAGAGATAATTGAAACAATGATGTGGGATCTAGACAACATGATCGATATTCAAATTGAATCTGTATTAATTAATATTAACCGTTCGGACAATGATTCAAGTATTTCCAGTGAATAAAGAATTGTGAAAAGTATGTACACTTCTTTCTATAAAAATAATCATTTATTTTGTTAGATTATTCCAAGACCATTGAGGAAAATACGGACCTGTTGAGTCTCGCGTTTGGGCATGTTGTGTTTTGCCTGGGCATAAATGGACTACGAATGCGGTACTCTATAAAGACAACACGCAGTTTGGTTAACTAAGCAATATCCAAGTTCCAAATAACCATTGACAACAGTCAATTACAATCACAAACAAATGCATTCTGAATAAAGCTTACCTTGAGCTTTCCTTAAGCGGCAAATATAAGCATCAGCTGTCAAAATAAGTTAGTTTGCATTAAGCCTAAACTACAAGCATTCTTCTAAGTACAAAATATATAATCACAAAGCATTGAAAGTGACAAGTATATACAGAATAATACAATAAATAAGGGTGTGTTGATATAATAGTATCCTTTCTGTAAATTCGAATTAATTCGTAGAATACATTGAAGACTCTATGCTAATGTATTTCTTGAGAATAAGCAAGAAACGATTTTTATATGACATCAACCAGTTAGAAATAATTAATAAAAAAACGATTAAATAATAGGAAGTTAAGGTCCAAGTGTATTTTTTTAACTGAATTAAGCAACGAACGTTGTACAAATCCAGTGGCAAATCGAAATACAAACAAATTATATCAACACAGGAAGTTAGTAAATAGTAAATGATATATCGGCAATTTATTTCTTTTGTCCAAGCGAGGACATTTCGACAAAGGTTTTGTCTATCTCTGTCACAATGCCCATATATTTGTTCTTTTCCCTCAGCACGAAATCTGAAATAAGCGAAAAAGCAAAAAAACAAAAATTAACCAAGCGTAAAATAAGCAACTTATAATAGCAATAATGTACCAAATAATTTCATTATAATTAGAACTGGTACTGTTAGATGCTGCAGTATTTCTGAAGAGGCTTCATAAGCCGTTGAAAGTAACATTTCATCCAATTGATGAAAATTGTCACTCTACAGCAAAACCGTAACACACGACAAAGCACTTTGCGCTATTAATATTCAAATAGCCAGTTTATGCAGCAGATTCTGACAAGTGAGGATATTATTCCTATCACACTGACGTAATTCTTTCCACAAAATTCTGCCGTCACCAAAGCTTAAAAACTTTATTTCATCTTTACCTTCAAGCCTATCAACTTCCTTCTGGAGTTTCTTGACGGTCTTCTCAGCATATTCAGCACGTGCCTCAGCCTCCTTTAGCTTGACAGTGAGACTCTTCAATTGCTTCTTGAACTCTTCTACACGCTGGTTGGCCTTCTCCTCGGATACTTCCAGAGATTTCAGTGAGTTTCCTACGACTTTCAATTCCTCTTCCAGTTCCATGATCTTGGCATCTCCACCCTATCAAGAAATGGGAGAAATTTTATTTTTATAGTCTTTACATAGCAGCACGGACTGGCAACGTAGCGTTCGATCTGGCAACACTGGAGGCGCCGGGCTTGGAGGGGAGATAGGGAACATGTGATCCGCCTTCAGTACAAGTTTGAACTCGCTCGAGTCCGTAGCATTTTTTGTGGAACATTTTTTCCTATTGTGTTCTAAAAATGAGTGACATCAACTTCGAGCAACGCTGTGCTGTCAGGTTTTGCATTATACGTATACTTGGTCACAGCAGGCCCACGGAAATAGTGTTTTGTCAAAAGCCCAGGTTTTTCGGTGGTTTAAGGCATTTTCAGAAAGGAATGAGTCGATTGAAGATGAATCGCGAAGCGGAAGGCCATCTTTAAGAACAGTTGATTTGGGACAAAACTTACTCCCTATACAGGGTGTTTCAGTTTATTGTTGCATAACTTTAAGATTCGATAGAACTTTTAAAATGAATGCATAAAGTCTATATAATAAACATGGGTCGAAAAATGCGTGGCTTCCGAAAAACAGGGTGTTTAAATTTACTTTCTAAAATAGTTTTTTTTTAAATATTTAGAACAATATTTCATGTATAATAGTGAAAATTGGTATAGAAGGGTTTTTTGGTACGACAAAACGAACCATGGGCATAGTTTTACTGAAGCCGCTAGAGGGCGCTCTCTACTGTACCTGTAGTGTATTAAAATGACCGAAATTTTTTTCTTAGTGCAATTTTTTGCTTTTTGAATAAAAAAAATGATTCTTCGCACTTTTCAACATTAATAAGATCTTCTGTGAGGTTTCGTTATAGTTAGCCGTTATTGAGATATTGCGATTTTTAAGGTTCGATGCATTTTCAATTATTTATGGGAAAATAATATCTTTTTTACATTTTCGATTTGGGCATTACAAGTAATTAAGATGATCGTTTAGATTGTGTTTTTAAACACAGCAATAATTCCTAACTCTAAATAAACACAAAAAAACAGAATATTAATTTGTTTAATTTTCCAATATTATTTTTAACAAATTAAATTAATTATTTACAACTAAAATGCTATTGGATAGTTAGGACAAACATACAAAATCTAAAGTAGTTGCTCGAAATGTAAACCCAATTGTTCAATACACAATTCACATCTACGAATGATGGAACGTGGTATAGCATTATTCAAATAAGGCCTTATGTCATCACATCCATTCCTGATTCTGTCTATTAGCATATCTCTTGTGGTTACGGGAGTCTGGTACACTTTTTCTTTTAGAAATCCCCACACAAAGAAATCTAATGGATTTAGGTCAGGGGATCGTGGAGGCCAGGCGACTGGTCCTCCACGGCCGATCCATCTTTCTGGATAATTTTCGTCCAGCCAGTTTCTAACTATTCTCGAATAATGAGCTGGACAACCATCAAGCTGGAACCAGGCCAATCTTCTTAAATCTAACATAACATCATCCCACATATTTGCATGTTCAGCCTTTAAAAATTCCAAGAAGGTCGCAGCATTTAACCTTGCAGGCAAAAGGTAGGGTCCAAATAGTCGATTACGGTAGATACCAATCCACAAGTTCACACTAAATTCATGCTGAAAATTTCTTTCCCAAACTGCATGCGGATTTTCATGTGACCAAATATGTTGATTATGAAAATGAACACACATGAACACGGTGAACATGACTTGCTGAAATTCCCAAGGCACCAGAAACTCTCCTAACACTTGTGGTCGGATCTCTATCAAACTCACGCAGAATCATACGGGTAAATCTGCGCTGACGAACATTTATGTTTTGATCCATTTGGAGATTTCCAAAACCAGTTTCAATTATTTGGCGATGCACTCTTACAAATACTGAGCTAGTTGGATGTCGTCTGTTTGGAAATCTGCGTTTCCATTTACAAAGCCATACACAAAATGAATATCCGCTAACTCTTGATTGGAGAATAAAAATGGCATTTTTATAAAACTTACAAAAAAAAACAGGTATAAGAAACTAAATTTCGTGCATTCACAATTGCAAAAAAACGTTTCAGGTTTCAACAGACAACAAAACTAACTGTCAACTAAATATTTAAAAAAAAAACTATTTTAGAAAGTAAATTTAAACACCCTGTATTTCGGAAGCCGCGCATTTTTCGACCCATGTTTATATAGACTGCATTAATTTTAAAAGTTCTATCGAATCTTAAAGTTATGCAGCAATAAACTGAAACACCCTGTATATCTCAAAATAATGCTGTTCTTCCTAGTTTATTACCTTGACACGATCTTCAGCTACTTCCAGCTCATCTTCAACGAAGGCCAGCTTGCGGGATACTTCATCAGATTTGTTGTCAGCGTCTTCAGCCAATAGACGGGCTTCCTTCAGCTGGTTGGTCAGTTGGTCCATACGTTCCTCATCCTGCTGGGACCTGTTCTCCAATACTTTGCACATACTGGAAAAAAGGAATTGCTAAGTCAGAGGCTGTATCATATTATTGTCGAGAGAGGTGTTCTTGGGGTCATTTGAAAGATCTATAAAAACTATCTAGAAGAGAGAAATTAAAAAAGTCACTTTTTGTCTAAGAGTTCAAACCTCTCTTGTTCTTGTTCATCTTCCATGATAGCACAGGAGAATTTTTAGATAATGCAGATGTGGTGTGATATGATAGTGACGGCTCGACAAGTTATAATTTTGTCACATTTTTGACGTTGAAATGATGCTTTTAAGGCTTTACGCACATTTCAGCAAATTTTCATGTAAACGCGGGAAATTGTACGCAAGCGAGTATCTACAGATCTATTCACGATTTTTGGCGGTTAAGTCATCAATGTCATACGAAAAAAGTAACCAAACCGACTAAGTGAACCCTGTGCGGACCTGAAGCTCCATATGAAAACTGCACACTAGGCAAACCGATCTCCAAAGTAGCTGCCTGATTAGTAAAGAAGCATAGCTTTCAGTCGCTTTCTCAAAATACTGCAATAATTTTGGCAAAAACTATCGATATTTTCAAGTACTGCTGTTTTATATTACTTAGGACCATATAGTCGGTCGTTCCTATAATAATTGTAAAACGCCTTCATGGCCTCCTTGATTTTCATAGTATTTTCTCTCTTTCAGAAACGCTGAGGTATTTCTAGATTTCTACTATTTGATTTATATCATCTGTTATATAGCTTGAAATTTCCTACAATTCAAGAAAAAACATAGCCTGACAATAGGAGAGCGCTGACGCTGACACGGAAAATCTAGAAGTATCTCAGTCTTTCTGAACTATTTGATGCAAATAGATATTTGTGACATAACCTCAAAATAGAGCGCTGACACGGAATATTCTATAATTTTAGGACGCCTTTATGGCCTGCTTGATTTGGTTAATCTTTCCCCTCCTTAAGAAAGGCTGGGTATTTCTAGATTTGTACTGTTCCGTGCCAGCGCGAGCGCTCTCCTATTGTTTTTTTAATTCAGGCTGATATAACAGATGATAAACGTCAAAAGCGCAAATAGATATCTGTAACATAACCTCAAAATAGAGCGCCGAGACGGAAGAGTAGAGAACTATGAAAATCAAGGAAGCCAGGAACCACTGGCTATACGGCCCTAGATCAATAATAGTTAAATTCAAAATGGTACGCCCATGTCAAGTGGGCTGTCACACTGACATTGACGATAAGGGATAATTGACAATACGTCATATTTTTGCTCGTGAAAGTTTTCAAGTTTTTCGATAGAAAACCCAATTTAAAAACATGGAGATAGACTCTGGAGGTCAAAGTAATGATCCCCCAGCGTCCCCGATGATGAATGGACCCAGCCAGAAGGAGAAAACAGAAATTACCAAGGAATCAAAGGAATTGACACCAGCTGTAGCAGACGAAAAGGACGGAACCATCCAGCGCCAGACGCTGATCATCGAAAGCCAGGCCCAGCAAATAAAGGAGCTGACTGAGACCATGAAATTAAAGGAATTGATGACACCAGCTGTAGCAGACGAAAAGGACAGAACCATCCAGCGCCAGACGCTGATCATCGAAAGCCAGGCCCAGCAAATAAAGGAGCTGACTGAGACAGTTAGGGATCAAAACAGTAACGAACTGCCTGACCACCCAGGTAACACAGTTAACGAATAATGCAAATTTTAATTCTAAATATGACAAGGCTGTCAATTTAAAAAGACCTCTTGAAAATTTAACTGACGTGACATCGACCGACGATGAAATACAGAATGACGGATTCATCCAGGCCAAGTCTAGGAAAAGGCGCATCGACAAAACGAACAAAACCGACAAGACGGATGACTTCCCACCTCTTTCAAAAGCAAAATCAAAATTCAAGTTGACAGTCCCCTCAAAACCTTCTGCTTCATTAAACGTATCAACTTCTTCTGCCACTTGTCCTATGACGGTCGATGCAGCGACCACATCTTCCCAATTCGACTGACAGTGCATTATCTCAACAATCTCACGTTGCTGGTGAGTTGACCAGCACAGCACCCCGCCAGGAGCGAATCACGCGCATTGTTTTGCGTGATGCGACCAAGTGGCGACATCTAAACTACACCTTTATAAGCTTAGGCATTAAGATAGAACGCGCATTTGCCGTTGATGCGGGAATCAGGATTTTGCCGAAAAGTGAGGATGACTACCGAAGAATCGTTCGCCTGTTCAGGGAGGAGGACGTGCCCCATCATACGTTCCCTCTTCCTTCAGAACGAAATATTCACGCGGTAGTCAGAGGCATACCCGCAATGTTTTCGGAACAGGAGATCAAAGGGGAATTAGAACAGAGGGGATATACTCCTCTCCGCATTATCCGACTCAAACGCAGTGGCGGCGCACCCATGCCTTTGGTGGTCGTGATACTGCCCAAGATTGAAAAGTCCCAGCAGCTGTTCAATGAACATGAGCTGCTGGATCTAGCAATCAGAGTTGAAGTTCAAAAGAACTCTAGACTTATTGGGCAGTGTCACCGCTGCCAAAGATATGGTCATGCGCAATCTTACTGCTCAGCACCTCCCAACTGTTTAAAATGTGCTTCCGACCACATGACACATTTATGCCCCCTCACAGGACAAGAGGAGCGAAAGTGTGCGAACTGTGGAAAATTAAATTGTGAATTCAGACCAGCCAAAATTATTTCAGTATACAAAACCGATCAAAATTATTTTTGGAGTTACAAAATAATTCGAGTAGTCAAAGCAATAATGCTTAAGCTATTTCAAATGATTTACTTCTTTTCTTTGCTCTATTTCTGCCTTCCTTTCTTTCCGTCTTTCCCTTTTCTCCCTTAAACATGTTTGGTATCTGGGTAGCCAGACCTGACAGACTAACAGACCGACGAGACTTTTAACTAAGAGCAAAGGTCCACCGGACCGCTCTGACGAATAATGACGAATAGTACTGACATTGACGAGCATAGATTAGAAATACTTATACGTTGGCGAGACGAAGCTAAAGAAGCTTGCACAAACGTTCGCGCACAGAGGCAGATTGCATATGTTTGTGTGAGGGAGATGGACGAATAAAAGTTATGCTGGTAGTTTTAGTGTGACCTGCCAGAAAGCGTGAAATGAACATCTAAGTTATTTCACACCGAGACGCGGGAAAAGCTTCTCTGCCGGCAAATTCTGATACGTCTGCCCAAAAAATACCTACCGTGAGCTTTCATCGGCTGCTTGGGAAGCTTCTGCAAGTTTTGTGGTAGCTGTGGCCAAACGTTCCTCAGAGCGTTCCAAATCTTCTTCAATCAGCTGGACTTTGCGATTCAGTGCAGCTACTTCTGATTCAGCCTGAAAATGGTATTAGGCATAGTTGTTTCTCAAAGGTGCAGAACTTAGAAATCTAATGCAATCGATATTTTAGAGAGCTCTGTGGCATAAAGCAGTTTTCTCTTTCTCTGTGGCGAAGAAGTTTCTACCCACCTGTCTTAAATAAAACCACATATGTATAAATTACTTTCCCTGACATTTTAGCGATCAAAGTACAAACAAATAACAATAGAGAGTTTTGACAATCACAAATACCGCATACGTAAACGTGAGCTTCAACGTTAGTTTTGACGTTTAAGTCAACGATTCACGTGTGACAACTGTCAAAAGATGCTGACGTTGATGTTAACGTATGTGGTATTTGTATGTATGTGATTGCCAAGACTCTCTCATGACAAAATATATTTCATATTCATTATTATTCCAGGTGACAGTTCATTTGTTTTTACTTCTCCTCGCTACCATATAAAGAGTAGCCTTCCACTGCTTACGTGGCAGGATGGAACGATTGTAACCGACTCAAAGGCTTAAGTGGAAGTGCTTGCCAAGATCTTTGCCGCCAACTCCATCATGGTCCGAGTGTCATCGATCCAAAGAGTTCCACACACTCTGAGGGAGGTAACCTTCAGGCATAAGACCGTAAGATCTTGTTACCTTCATTAACAAAGCCTCTGATCCGGACTTGATTCCCGCCATTATACTGGACATGAGCACCTTCCCAGAAAACTGGAAATGTGCTCATGTCCAGCCCATCCCCCAAAAAGGATCTAAGAGCGACCCTTACAACTACGGGATTATAGCTCTACTTTCTGTAAAGTGATGGAGAGGTACATAAATCGGAAGCTTCTGGAGTACCTTGAACGTCACGTCGTTGGTATTGATATCACGAAAGCGTTCGATCCTCCCAGACCTCCCAGAGAAGCTCGTCCATTGCGGAAGATGCTGGGAAAGGTGCTATATGTTTAGGGCTAAGAAGTACTTCTCTCCACGTAACCTCCTCACTCTGAACAAGGCCCACGTAGGACCTAGCCTCGAGTGCTGCTCACATGTTTGGGATGCAACCGCCCTCGGCTCTCATTCTAGTCGTGTCAGTTCTGGATGTACGAACTTCGACGCGATTAGGATAGGAGGCCTGGACTAGCGTGCAGCGGCATCATGGAGAAGAGCTCTGAGGAGCAAAGTCCGTTAACATAGCGAAGCCATCGTTACCATTTTTAGGGCGGTACCTCGTAAGCGCGGCAAAGCCCAGGATCGTCTGTGGTGCGCACTCCCACTCCCAAAAGACGTCCAGCGCCTCCCAAAGCGACAAGCGAGCATGGGGTTATCGGTTGTTTTGGATGTACGAGACACGTCCTTCGAGAACGTAAAAATTACCACCTAGAACTGTTGACGTAACATACCGGTTGAATCTTGTGCAATCTTCAACTACTAATGCTGCATCTGCATTGTTCATGGGTCCGAAATGTGAGAAATAGTACTTCGACACTTCCAGGGCACCATGTGGTTCGTCTTGTGAAGAAATAATGCAAGTCACAAAAATTCTCCGATAAGATGGCAGAGCAAAGTACCTACACGTTTGAGTATTTGAGATCCCACATTTTACAGCATTTTTCCGTGTTTTTGCGCTAGAAACATGAGCGCCCGCAGGGAGACTCCAGGAGCGGGGATCCGGATGGACCTTAAAATTTGCATGTTTAGCAGGATTTTGTGTACAATTTTAAGAATTTATGGGAAAAGTTTTTGAGGCAGGTTCACTAAACTTAGTTTCCTCTTGTCGAGGCCCCCATGTCTAGAAATATTGTTTATTGAGCCATCCTGTATTTACCTGCGTGAGGAGCTTTTCTTTGTTGTCCAGCTCCTTGTTGGCGTTCTCGAGCTGCTGTTTGTTGAAGACGAGGTCGTTCTCGACCTGGCTGAGTTTTTTGGTGAGGTCTGAACCTCCTCCTGGATCTTTTCGCATCTGGCGGTCGCGTCCTTCAGTTGACCCTCCATCGCGTCGGCCTTGTCGGCCGCGTTGTCCTTTTCAAGCTTCATCGCTTGCATCTTCTTCTTGATCGCGTCCATGATGGAGGGCTTTGGTAGACTGGCTTAGTACGAAGAAGACGAAAGGCCTAAGGAAGAAACAAAAACGAGCTATAAGTTAAATGACACCATCTATTTTTTTTATCTTCCAACTACCACGAAGGCATAAGTCCTAAACACCCATGGGGAACCGTGGGGCTATAAGGGGATACAGGGAAAGGGGGAGCGCCACACGGACTCTGGCGAGGATAAACGTGTGCATGCAACATGCACCCATTCTGGCCCGCCTACGAGATCCGCTGGGTGGTACCTCCTCGTTCGACAGTCAGAGACCGTCTACCACCTACGGACAATCACAACATCCATAGCCAAGAGAAAGATTTCTCGTGGGACGGGATTCGAACCCGCACAGCGCACGGCTACTGATCAGGAGATCGAAAAGTTTACTATTGCGGCCACCGCTGCTGCCTGATCTTAACAGGCGTGTACAGACTAGGTAGAAGGAGCCAGTGAAGGAGTTGTTTGTCTCTTAATTCTTGGTAGTCTGTAGTGCAGATCAAAGTGCATACCTCAAGTGCACTTGACATAAGTCATATTTTTGACAGTTCTGTCACTATCTGTCATATTGTAGTATGTTTTCTAAAAGTGCGAGTGTTTGCAGATAATTGTGGTGTTAGCAGATTTCAAGATATGGTATTTTTTACATCATTTGCCAAGAGCGGCACTTGCCTAATGAAGGTAGACGTTTCCATCGGTATGTATTACTATCATGTTGATGCAACGCTGTCATTTTGCAGGAACTAATTGTCAGATGAGACCAAACTACGCAATTTTGGCGACAAACAATGCAGTATAAACATATGGTGTGCTGTAATATTCTTCTTCCTCTATTCTGTCTTAATGACAAGCAGATCTGATAGACCTACTGACCTCAAGGATTTAACCATGCACACATTTTTTTATAGACCTACGAACCGCTCTGACAGATGAAATTTTGTAGTTGCGAAAAAACGACAACTTTATATTATAATAATATTGAAAATAGGTGCAATTGCGGCGTTCATTTATTTTCAGACTTCACTGAAATTAATGACATTTTCGAAAAATATAATGTAGGATTGATTAACGTATTCTACCTAAAAATGGCCAAATGAGGCTATAATCGTAAGTCCACAAAATATCAGAGATTAAATGAGATACGGTAGCGTCATCTATGAGAATTTTAAGAGCTGTTTCTCTATTTACTATACAGGGTGACTTTGAAGTTGAGTCATTAATTTTCAGATAATGATTGTAGAAGGGAGATAACTAAAATGTGTGTAAAAATAAAAAATAAATTAAAAAAAAAATTTACGTTGTTTTATAAAGTATCCTCCCGACAAGTATTTCAGTGCGGACCTGTATTTGCTCGTGAGGTCTTGGAGCACCGGCATGCCCTCCCCTGTGAGGTCTTAAGTCACCTGATTCACGAGCCCGTTGTACTACATTAACAAAGGCACGAGGGGTTGGTTGCATTCGATTGGGAAACCGATCCGCATAAACATGTGCCATTTTTCTTTCGTTTGAGCCACGCAGCAAACACCACTATTCACTCACGCGTTACCGACTGACACATTGACTGAATAAAAACATCGTGATCAGCGTTTCAAATTCTTTCGCTTTTTTGTTTCCGATGCGATGAACCGATAAGGCGGATTATATCCGTTGTTGTCAAACACGAGCACATAATATTATTATTGAGACAGGGCGGTACTCAAACTTCTAAAGGGATATAACTTTGTTACTTTAATTTTACCAGAAAAATGTTAAAGGAAAAAAAACATTTCTTTTGATCAGATCTACTCACTGTTAAAATAAATGACTCAACTTCGAAGTCACCCTGTATATACTTAGGAATGGTTATTGTTAGTGTCTCATATATGGCTCTGTCTATATGAGTATATACAAGCATATAAGTGACTACAGCGCCATCTATGAAACACTAAGCTTTCACAGTATGATTCTCAAGTCGTGACCAATCGATGGATTGGCAGAAACAGACCCGTACATATTCCTGCGAGGTCTCCTGATTTGAACCGCCTGAATTTCTTTTTGTGGGGTGCTTTCAAACAACTAGTGTATTTTGAACAAATTGATACTGTTGAGCAGTTACAAGAAAGAATAGATAATGCGTTTCATCAAATTCAAGCCACAACAATTTCAATAAATAAAGCGTTGATTATCTAATTTGTTTTATTTTTATTTTACGAAAATAGTGTACTCTAGGAAAAAACACAAAAGTAATTATTTGTAGCAAATTGAAGGTGAAATTCTAAAAATTGCGCGTTTCGAAAAAAACAGTGGCGTACTATTTTTATTTGAAAAAAAATTATGCCACTGGTCCCCATTATCTCCGCCACTGGTGCACGTTAATTATAAGTAAAGACTTTTGAATGTGGACAATACTTAGGTAAATCCGCATATCAAATTTTGTTAATTTTTGTTAGTACATTCTCATTTTTCTAGTTCTTGAAAATATAAAAATCTTGACGTTTTTACTCTCAAAATAGTTCCCCATATTACGTTGGCAGATGCAACATAGTTGCAAAGCTATACAGGTCAGTCTCTCTCTGTTTTTTCTATTTATGTATTATTTAAAGCAGGATGAGTTTTAAAAATAGCACAGTAAGCGAGAGAAAAATTGATCAGCTATGTATGTAGGAGTGTTACATAAGAAACATGATATCATCGTCCAAGTTCAGAAATCTAATTTCTGAGCTCAACTACATTCAAAAACACATAACATCACACGCGATGCCGAAGAAAAGCTGTAAAAATAATTTTGGATCCATAAACACAACTTTGTACGAGGCTAAATTTAAGTTTCAAAATCAACACGACCACGAAGTAAATAGATGAGCAATCCTAATCATTCTCAAAAATACACTCGTTTTTGTGTGGGTTTTACGCATTCAATAAACATATTGGTAATTAAATAAGTGAATAAAAATTAATTTTCGGAAATCTCACAATGCCCCAAAATATGTTGACAATAATTAATTTTCGTACGGCTCGACTAAACTGTGCAAGATTTGATTGTATGTACTTAATTTTTATTATGGCACGTGTAATCCTTTCTTGTGGTACTTTTGAACAAAGCATTTGAATAGTCTGAAAGCTTCATAGAGTAATAAAATTTCTGATAATATGTTAACTCCAAATTTGAACTGTCCAAGGTTAGCTGAATAATGAAGATAGAAAATTGCATAATTATTATGAAAGACACGTTGTTCCTAAGTATTTAGGCTTGACCGCACCGGTTTAATCATAATAGTTATGTATTTAACAACACCATAGTGTGTATAAACTATTGCCTATATTTATTTGTTATAAACAGTAAACTAGCTTCATTTATAAATTGTGTTATTGGGGACATTTTTCAAAATTACCAATTCCGAAAACGAAACTATTTGTAACAAAATGATGCGTGATCGCAGTAGACTGCAGCTAATTTTTTTAACCAATAACTTTTGGCACCGAAGCTTTTGTTGTTTTTTGTTCCCGATCATTTTTAACTGTAGCCAATAAAAGTTTGTTAGAATGTTTTTCCAACGTTTATTTTTAAACGCTACTGATCTTTCTATGTGGTAATAATATAATCTATTATTATCATATATTAATATATATAAATACAACTTCATTGTATGACGGAAAATTTTTGACATTTATGAGAACCAAGCCTGCAGAGAAGCGGAATGTGGTAAATTCAAACATTTTTTGTAAATATTCTATTTTTTATCATAAATAAATATTGTACATCGGTCAAATTAAAATGATTTTATTTTAACAACTTTTCGACATGTTATGAAAATGTTTTCATTTTATCCTCGAAAAGGAAGTAAGATAGGGAGATACCCCAAAAGGCAAAAAAGTTACTTAAACTGAAACAAAAAAAATATTTTTTAAAAAGTCAGTAGAGTACGTTTTTTTCAACATTATTTGAGAGACTGCCCCCCTAAACGCCACTGGAATTCATAATTATTTTCAAGTTACTGCTAACTTAGCATCTTATTGCAATGAACAACAATGAAAAGATACAACAAAATCGGTACCAACATCGTTAATAAAAAACATTTTTTTTATATAAAACCCTAATTTTATAAAGTATGTTTATATGAACTATTCTACTTAAACTTAGTACAGGAATTCGCTCTCTATCGTATTCCCTATTATGTTCCATTCCAGCATATTTTTCGAGAATCGAGAAAATTATAATAATAGAACGGAATTTTCTGTAACACAATACTGAATCCTTAACGTTGACGCCCAGCTGAAACCGCGTTAGTCTTGTTAAAATAGCACCTGGAAATTCGTAAGTTTCTGTGAATTTAGCCATCGCGCCGTTTGACATACTTTTTGAACGCACCGCGCAGATTCAAGATTCAACTCTAGATGCCTGCTACATGTATTCCTATTAATATGTTCTTTGCTCAAAATAAGGCGGGGTAGTCCCATGGTGTAGTTGGGATAAAAATAGAGAAACACGTCATTGGATAAGTTGAAGAAAGACATATTTGTTCTGTCTGTCGCTGCGAAACAAAAGGGATTGAACTAGAATGAAGAGATTATGATCAAAGACGGATACGGAGTAGATAAATCAACCAATCTACGGGGTAGATAGCACTTTACTATATAAAACGTAATAAAAATGCAAGTATTTCTGAAAACATATGACCCGACATTAGAGGTCTGTCAAATGATATCGTTGATTTTTGTCATTGCAGTAGAAAATTCTATTTATGGCCGCGATTCAGGAGATAATCAAGGGCCTAGACCACTCCCGCAAAACTACGACCAAAGGCATATTTAGTGTCATTACTATGTGACCAATAATCGGAAAACGTATTACAAAATGAAATTATACAGATGCCGAACCTTTGGAGAGCGAAGAAAAGCTCCATGGAACAATACAATCAATACATGCCATGAAATAATTATATTCACCAACTAATAAAATCTTTACAAAATTTAGGGCAGACGATGTCTTCTTTTACTCTGATAGAGGACATAGGTCTATGCCAGAATATCCACCGATAATCCAAGCTATTATCTTCCTATACAATATGCAGCAACCAAAGAAGTTCTTACTCGTGACATGCCTCAGTTCTCCGTATGTGGGGTCTGCAACATCCAAACTAGCCTTCAGCCCTCAGTATAAACAGGTATTAGACCCTCTCATTATACGGCACTTCACGGTATTCAACAAGGATCCAGGACAAAGTCATCTCATGAAGATTAACTAAGCGGTGAAGAGTATAACACATTCCTGGACTAAAGTTGTCACCTCAACCAGGGAGCTTGGTCGTCAAAACATACGAATATACTATCAGCTTAGTCCAACGTATCCTAATTTAGCAATCGGTATTAGAATTAGCCTTCCTTTGGGTATATATTTGAAATTGGTGTCCCATCTTCTCCAAAGATACGACTAACTCTAACAGTGAAAGAAATTGAATATAAATATCTACAACTTTGATTCTCATGACTGGTCGTATCAAAGATATGGTACCACTTGCGTTTTTCAATATGGCGATTGCTGCCCAACATGTATCTCCTTTAAAATCCAGATTTGAGCTCGCTCTGCATATACCTCATATAAAAATTGACCTTAGTTTTTCGATTAATGTCGGCACGTTGCAGGCAAGATTTTTTTATAGCCAAATCAAAATAGAATTAAGCAATCCAAAAGCTCATCCATCAAATTTTAAAGACTGATCGAGAATGACAGTAGCTGAGATCATGAGGACGGCATCAAAATAATGATAATTCCAAAACAAGAGAAGAACTGACTGACAGGTGTATAAATAGATTCCAAATGAACCTTCCAAGAATTATTTCAAAATCGATTTTTGCGATTATAATGCTTCCACTACCCGAAATGGTGTTAGAAGACATAAAGGGTTATCTAGTTAACTGAGATACCCCATTGAGGGTAAATGAATTCAAAAGTTTTGAAGATGATGATGGCAATGAATGCTGAAAAAATCCCACACACATATTTAGGGGATAGTGTATAAGAAGAACAAAAAGATACAAATCTCATTAATTTTTATGTGAATTCTAGCACAACGCACTCGAAAACCAATTAAGATAGTATGTCTCGGAAAAGAATAGGACAAAGCAATTGTTGAAATCACTGAACCACAAATCAACACCATTTCAGATAAGAATGACTCACAACTAATCTTATCAGCAAAAACAATTCTAACAAGTGTATTTCACTTGTCCCACCTTATACGGTGATCAGTAACAACTTACCACCACTCTGCGCAAGCCGCACTGCCATATACGGTCATCCCCCTCCCCCCGTACACTTAGCCACCCCCCGCGTGTTACCGCACGAGTCACTGTCACAACCACCATTTTCTTACCCTTAGCGTTTTAGGGGTAGCGCGAATCGGTACCTACCTTTGCCTATGAACGATCAGAGGTCGACGCTGTCCTATTAGCTACAGATCGTCGGGACGCTCTACGTCCCGACGCTAAGGAGATTCAGGGGAGGGCGTCCCCCTCTTCGCTCAGCTCGAATTGGGTGGCTTAAATCGGGAACGGTGGTTCCCAAAAGTTTTCCGTGCGAGCTTTTTTAACTTTACGATGAGAATGAGAATTTTTGAAGTGGAACTTACGGGCCGTTCAAGTATTACGTGAGCACTATGGGGGGGACTTTGCTTTGCTTATTTTGGATGACATGCGGGGTAGGGGAGTCTAGATGATGATTACGTCATCGGTAGTTATTTACTTTTTTACACGAATGGCAACCCTCACATTGTCTTTGCTACGTTTAGTGAACAGCGCGCGGTAATTCCCCTGCTTGCTTTAGAACCGAGTAGGGGAATTACCGCGCGGACCTACGTGGACGGGCAGTTCGCTGCTCATCCTGGCCTTGTTGTTTTTGGGCCAATAGCCTTATGTTTGTTTTTTAGCACGAGTACTGAGGAAAGATAGTCGACTCGACCAGCGCCTATTAGCCAAGCAAGGCATGCATTCAAGGAGTGCTACCTCGTGTCCCCAGGAGAACATTTGAGGATGTAGAAGAGACCCTACAACGATTCAGTCCTCCGCACATGTCTTTACTCCTTAGCTTAATTCAGTTCATTATTTTGACTTAGTATCGTTAGCCATCTTGAAGGGGCTACCAAGGTACATTGCTTAGGGTACACCGACGTATGAGGAGAGTTACGTTGAGGAATAGGCCGCCACCGTGTAGATTATGAGAAAATCAATTTGTCCAACTAGTTCGAGGCTTTTCGGTTATGAACGAATATTGACTGCGAGCTCTGTCCACGTGGTAATGGTACTGACCGTGGAGTCGTTTCCAAACCATTGTCGAGAGGTCCTGACTTTGAGCTTTGGTTGTTGTTATGTGTCACGCTGTTTCCTGGATTTCATGATGAAACTAGAATGTGCGCGCCACTAGTATACAGTGTTTATACATGTAAGAGCTTGAGTATGAAAAGAAATCTTATTCTAAAAAAAAATTTTAGTATCCCAAATATTTATGATGAATCTAACTGCCACCAGAATACCAGGAGATCATTAATCATACGTATTGCCACTTATATCGTATAAATCAAGTACGATCCGCATCTGACCATCAAAGCATGATCAAGCAAGCCATATAAAAACGCTTTTGCCATCAGATGACCTTGACCAGGAGCACAGCAATTCGTTTATGCCTTTTATAGACCTGCTTTCTCGAGATGGTTACAACGTTCGATCAATCGCTGCCTTCAAGAAATGTATGGGGGGCACAGGAAGCAATATTTGATTGCTTCATAATACTTACTAATTATCAAAGAAAAAAATTTTATTTCTCATTGGCGAGAAGGTATTGCAATTGTGAAAAATGTTGAAAATGGGATATGTTTTTTGGCATCTACATCACCAAAGGTGACGTCACTTATTTCCGTCGGACTGAGTGTCTGTCTGTTCGTTAATCCTCGGCGCCTTCTATAATATGTATAATGCTGCTCGGAGAAGGACGAAAAACTATAGAAGTTCTTGCAAATCGGCCCATTGGCTGCGCAGATAAGGGCAAAAAACGAAAAAGGTAAAAAACGTTTTGACTTGTGTCTTTTCTTTCCAGAGGTTACCGATCATTATCAAAAAAGTGTTTGTAAGGCTTCAAAATATGAAGTTGAGGGTTATACGGTGTGCAAGAGAGTGTTCCTCAATTTTTATAGTCTTCCAATCCCGGTGAGTCTTCGCACCTATCAGGCAATATTTCACAAATTTCCCCGTACATTTGCAGATATTTTCTGGATATACCTCCGTCACCGCCTCACTGATGAGTGTCTGTGTTTCGTAACCGGTGGTGGCTACGGTGTCTGGGGAGTAGCGAGCTTAGTCATAGCGACGTTGCCAGATGGTCGGTACTATGGGTAGGGCAGGTGAGAAATTTCTAGATAGTAATGTTGTCAAGTGTTTGGTGACTATGGGCTAATTGACTGGGCCTGTTGGACTGATTTGATGCACTGCTATACTTGTCCATAGCTAACATTTGCTTCAGAGGGACTAACTTGGACCTATCCATCCTGCTCTTCAATCAAATATCTATTCATTCTTGGAGTGTTTTATTATGTTTTATTATGCCTCACCCACGCGCTCCCGCTTCTCAGTTGTCGTTTGCAGGTTGCTCAGGCCAGCGATCTGCATGCGGATTTTCATGCGACCAAATATGTTGATTATGAAAATTTACCACTCCACGTCTAGTGAAGCATGACTCATCGGTCCATAAAACGTTACTTAAAAACTCCCTATTATTATCAGTTCTATCATGAATTCACTGACAAAATGTGATTCTTCGTTCTCCGTCCCCTGGCTGTAGTCCTTGCACAGGTTGCAAATGGTAAGGTCGTCTATGGTCATTTCTAAGAACACGGTGAACATGACTTGCTGAAATTCCCAAGGCACCAGAAACTCTCCTAACACTTGTGGTCGGATCTCTATCAAACTCACGCAGAATCATACGGGTAAATCTGCGCTGACATAAATGTATTTCGGAAGCCATGCATTTTTCGACCCATGTTTATATAGACATTATGCATTAATTTTAAAAGTTCTATCGAATCTTAAAGTTATGCAACAATAAACTGAAACACCCTGTATAAAAACTATCGTGGTAGTATCGTAATTATCACAGCACATCATACACTATGACTGCAAAGCGACATCGAAATTAACTTAATTAGAATCAGGCTCTTGATCTTTCGTCAGAAAAAAGCTACCAATGTTCAGCATAAAAATCCCTGAACATCTTATAAAAGTGAAAACTGGGAACTCAAAAATTGTCGCATGTCGTCTTTCAAAATAGGTAAAAAACTATAGCGGGTTACTGGGTCGAATGCATCTCTCACAATGTCACTTTCGCTTCTTATGGGCACGATTACTTGCCGAACCTTCGTTGCAATTACAGAAAAATCGGTGACGTAATTTCATCCGATCTTACCACCATTTGTTCGCCAGACAAGAATGTATCCACCAATAGTATACAGATTACCAGATGTGAAATCACTAGCGGATAACCCTTTACATTTGGTTTTATCCAGCGGTCTCCTCAAACTTCCCAGGAACCACACGTTTTTACTCCCCCAGTGGCAAGAAAGTACTGTAATTGCGAAAAATTTAGAAAGTGGAATAGTATGTTTCTTGGACGTTGGATAACGTCTCGAAAAACTATGTCACACAGTTCAGTCGGTCTGTCTGTCAGTCTGTCTGCATGTCTGTCTGCTAATTCTTGGCTCCTCTATAATTTGTAAATAACCGCTCGGGCTCCACAAAGTTACTCCTATGCCAAGGACAAAACTGTTTTTGTATGTTTTGAAAATCGACCTATTGAAGACAAAATACGAGCAAAAACAAAGAAAAAACTGAAACTTCATTCTTGACGTTTCAGAGACCGTTCCTAGATTGTTAGGGACCAGTCGGTTGTTAATAATAATAATAATAATAGACGTCTTTATTTATCCACAATTACATTGTAGTATAGCCAATGTCAGACTTGCATGGCGAAGTTTAGGATGCTGCTACTCTTACACTTAACCATATAGTCTCTAGCAGATGTTCAAAAGAATACACTATCCACAAACAGATTTGGTTCATTACGTCGAAAGTAAAATTTAAAAAAAGAGAAAAAGGGATACTTTCCAAACCCAAATGCACCAAAAAATTATTAATCTGAAATAAAGATGGAATAAAAAGAAATGAATGATTACGTAAATTATATGTTTGGAGGGTTGAGTAATAATGTTTTAACTTTTTGTCGAAAGAAAGGTAATGAAAATTCTTTATATACTTTCATTATAAATAATAGCAACATTGTAAGAAAAACTGCGTTTAAAAAGTGTAGACGTATGCAGGGGTATTCTAATATTATTTTCTCTGAGAGTTCTACAGTGAACATCATTATTAAATGAAATTTTTTCCTTCAAGTGATAAGGTTTAGACGTGAGCAGCAACTTGTGAACAAAAACTGAAGAGTGATACTTGACCATGTCATTAATTTTTAACCAGTTTAGAACGGGATATTTCGCTGATACATGATCAAATTTACGTAAGCCAAAAATGAATCGTATACAATTGTTTTGAATAACTTGAATAACGTTTTTAGTGAAATTGTCTAAACAAGTATAGTATACGATATTACAATAATTTAGTATAGATATGGCCAATGCTTCACATAGTTTTTTACGCAACTTAAAATTTTGTAAATACCTGTTTGCTATAAGAGTGCGCAGCCGTAGGTAGGTTTTCTGAGATAGACTTTTAACATGTTCAATAAACCTTAATTTTGTATCAAAAACAACACCAAGAATTTTTGCAGAATCAGAAATTGCAAGATTTGGTTATTTATCTGAATGTTCAAGAGCTGTGTTACATTGTATGTTTTTCTTTGTGCGCAAAATAATAACATTTTAGATTTTTGTGGATTAATAAGTCGATTGTGATCTAAAGAGTATTTAATTAATTTATTAACATCGTTTTGTAAAATTTGAGTAGTATTATTGACATTATATGGGTTAAAATAATGAAGCAATTGCGTATCGTCTGCAAATGACTGGACATGAGAATTATCAATACTTTTGCTTAAGTCGAACGTCTATATGAGGAACAGAAGCGGCCTCAATAGAGAGCCCTGAGGTACGCCTGAGGGAATTATTATCACTTCAGACATTTCTTGATTGAGAAAAACACACCGAGTTCTTTGATGAAGGTAACTGTCGAAAAATGAAAGGGATACACTGTCAAGACCTATGTAATTTAATTTATCAAATAATAATTTATGATTGATGCTGTCAAAGGCTTTCGAATAGTCCATAGAGATTAAGGCTAGTGCCATTTTCTTATCTAAGGCACTTAAAATATTGTCTTGCAGATTAAGTAGGGCAGATGTTGTACTATAATTTTTTCTAAATCCGGATTGAGTGTCGGGAAGTATAAAGAATTTTTCTAGGTAAGCGGTCAATTGGAACTTTATAATTTTTCTAAAATTTTGGATAAAATTGGTAATAAACTGATAGGTTTGAGATCATTATACTTAGTGGGTTTCATTTTTTTAGCAATTGGAATAATTAGAGCTTGTTTCCATGTGTTTGGAAAGTAGCCTTTTTCAAACAGTCGTTAAAGATGTGGACGATGTGATGGAGAATAACTGGCAGGCAAAGCTGGATCATTGACAGGGATATACCATCAATTCCCTTCGCATCAGATTTTAGGCTCCCTATTGCCTGTAATACGCAACTACAAACTAGTGAATCAACAGGTTTGTAGCTATAAACAGACATAAAATAATCATTAATTTTGGTTGAATCTTTGGTATCAGTGAAAAATGTACTACATTACGAAGTTTTTGATCCTTTTCTGTTAGACGTAATAGCTAAATAAACTTTCCATTGCCATCGGAAAAGAAATATTATTATATTCGGAGTTACAAATATGGTGCAGGTACAACCAAAAATTGATCCGGGAAGACTACATAAATAAACAAACCTGATAAAGTTTCGATTCCATTTGAATCTTTTTTGTAATACATGGGAAAAATATTTTTTTTTGCTAATTTTTCCCTTTTCCGCCTTAGCTGCTACTAAGTAGGTTAATTCTGCATCTCACATGCAATTGGTTTCGTCGATTCTTTCAATTATAGTACATAGGTCTTGACATACATCGGACGTGATTGACGTCAAAATTGCGTGGTAGTGTCAATCCATTTGGGGGGTCTCTCACTTTTTATTGCTTTTAAAATGACTCCACATGGCTTAGAAGCCAACCACTGACGACTTATTGATACAAAAAGTTTCCTTCGCTCATATTTATTTGGCTTTTCTTGCACATCTTCTACCTCTACTGAAATATTAATAGATTTAACAACCAGGAGTGACCCTAGTTTTTCTTGTCTGTATACTTGTCTTTACGTACAACGTGACTTCATAATGTTCGTTGATTATAGGATGTGCAAGCCTCAAGATATCTGGATTTAATCTTTATCTACGTATAAATTGCCTGCAGATGACTTGACTAAAAGCCAAGCAAAGGTACGAGGGAATAGTTTTTTACTATTAAGTGTTACGATCATTCATTGCAATCTGTACCAAAATCAATTTCTTGTTTGGTTAAAAAGGCCAATTAAAACCAGTAATTTCTTACCTAACGATTAAAATATATTTTTAAAGCGAACGATGATTACTTATTTTAGGTGTTTTTTTCGAAAAATCGTATTCCTTCCTAAGCTTTGCTGAAATCTCCTTGTTTTTCTTTCTAGGCCGAGGCTAGGCTGAGGCTAGGCTGCGGCTAGGCTGAGACTTGGCTGAGGCTAGGCTGAGGCTATGCTGACGCTAGGCTGAGGCTTGGCTGAGGCTAGACTGAGGCTAGGCTGAGGCTAGACTGGGCTAGGCTGAGGCTAGGCTGAGGCTAGGCTGAGGCTAGGCTGAGGCTAGGCTAGCTAGGCTGAGGCTAGGCTGAGGCTAGGCTGAGGCTAGGCTGAGGCTAGGCTGAGGCTAGCTGAGGCTAGGCTGAGGCTAGGCTGAGGCTAGGCTGAGGCTAGGCTGAGGCTAGGCTGAGGCTAGGCTGAGGCTAGGCTGAGGCTAGGCTGAGGCTAGGCTGAGGCTAGGCTGAGGCTAGGCTGAGGCTAGGCTGAGGCTAGGCTGAGGCTAGGCTGAGGTTAGGCTGAGGCTAGGCTGAGGCTAGGCTGAGTTAACAGTCTAGTTAAAAGTCCAGGATGTGTCGCGAAATGCAGACTAGCATCATTAATTTATTTTCACAGAACCTTCATTTTTACCAAAAACCTACCACCACCAACTCGCATTTTCCAATTATCATTTTCTTATTTAAAAACAATCATCAACTTTTGAAGACCTCCGTCCTGACCTCTTGACGCTGTATTGCAAACCTTGGAAATGCAGTAAAAATATAGTTATAGTACCCCTACTAACTTGAAACACTTCTTAACGAAAAAGTAACATTTTGAGGACTTCTTGCGGGACGCTTCTCGAGCGTCGCGACGGCTATTCTTAGCCCGGTATGGTGGGGTGTGTGTCGCGAGCGCCCGGTATGGAGCCCGCGTAAGCTGATAGCTCGCCTCCTCAGGAGGTCAGTCGCTCCATCGAAATACCCACGGTCGCGCGTACCTAGCACGGTTGCAACCGAGAGAGCCACTCGCCAACAACCAACGTCAAGACACTCCGCGTGCCACAGCTCCGGTGAGTACTTTCTTTCTTCTTTGTCCGTACCAGGCTAACCGGCGATTCCAACCGAAAATAGGGCTCCGCAAAGGTCAAGAACTGCCTGTAAGATGGATATTTGACGTTGTGTAGTCTTCTGCCCTTATTTAAAAATAGCTGGCTAAGACTAATCATTACATAACTTATGTAAAAGCTTTTTACAAAGAAAGAAATCAACGGAGTATTGACAAATGTACATTCATTAACCCTGTCAAATTTAGATTACCATTCAGGGACAGTTTCGTTCAGAAATAGGGTTTGGAAAATATTATCATGTCTCAAGTTCACACAAAAAGCCACCTGTATTCAAACGTCAAGAACTACCTGTAAGATGGGCACTTGAATGTCAGAGTAGACTTCAGCCAGAAAAATGGCTGGCCGAGACAAAGTATTATCTAGCAACTGTGCTTGCGCAAAAGCTTTTGTCAATGAAAGTAATCAATGGATTTTTAACAAAATCACATTCATTAACTAACTTAGATTACCAACCAGAAAGGTTCCTTTCAGAAATCGGGTTTCGTAACGCTTATTGAGTCCCAGGTATCATAAAGGCACCTGGAGGATAAACGCTCAAATTGTAGCCTCTATCAAAAAAGCTAGCTGACTTTCAGCTCTGATAGTTATTTTTTGTGACTGTGATTAAAATCAGTGTCACAAAAGCTCTCAATGTTCATGAAACTAGTCAGCGCAATTTTCTTTAAAAATTCGTATGCAAAAGGAACTTGTGGAAAAACCGTTCAAAAAAATATAAAAGTTGTCAGGTGGTTTTATCTATAATTAGCTTCTAGCTAACTTTGGTAGCTATTTGTAAATAAATAAAATCGCTTTTAGATATAACAAATCCTAGCTATGATCCCAAAAAAGTAGGAAACTTGGTTCTCGAAGCCTTAAAATACTTAAAAATTGTCGAAATATTCATCGCCAGTAGGAATAAATTCTTTTCAAATAAAGCTCCATTCAGATGGGCGATCAAATATCAGAGTTGTCAACTATCTGGTTAAAAATAGCTGGCTGACTAACTAGCGAACCATCTTTAGGATTATAGCTCTGTTAATAAGTTTAAAATGGCTATCAAAGATATAAAACACTATCCAAGACGTACGTTCTCAAAAGCTTTTGTTTGAAGTAAACGGGAATCAATTAAAGGAATGAGCTTTAGGTATGAAACACTCAGGATCTTAAAAGAATTTGAAATTTCGGAATTCAGTTTTCTGACTTTCAAAAACTACAAATAAAAGTTATATTCCTAACACGTCAAGCTTAGGTTTCCCTTTAAGGGTTTCGTGAAGATCATGACTCATAAGATTGAACTTGTAGATAAGGCAATGAGGTAAATACCAAAGTGAAGTCCCCAAAAGCTCATTAAACTTAGAAATTCAGTTATTTCATCGAAATAAGTAAACAATAAGCACCTAAATATAAAAATAGCTACCACTTAAAAATAGATGACACACTTTATTGGAAAAAAACAGTATGCGCAACTTCTATCGCATACCATCTACCCCATATAATAAGAAAGAAATAGGATATACATAACATAACAAACACTTTCTTTAATGATCCTTAGTCGAACTTAAACATCTTGTTGAAGAGATTTCTTTCAAAAATCGTTTCCAAAGCCTAAGGCCAATAAGGCACTCTCACAGTGACGAGTCCCGAAAAAGCGGCGATGCATTTGACGCTAACCTTTTTTTACGACTAGGCTATACATTTCAAAGAAATTCATCCAAAAATCGACATAGTAAAGCTCGTTTCCCTAGAAGGAAATTCTCTCTTAATTTCACTGATACTTTGCTCACCAACGGCACTTTCTTTGTCTCTTCCAAGGATTGCTAAGCGCGCCGGAATCCGCGATACATTTTATATTTCAACCAGCATCAAGGCGGCCGCGGCCACCGGAAACTGCAAAATTCCTCACCGTCGATTGTTTTCCTCTGCGTCAACTACCATGTTTGCTGCGGGGAAACTCCTTCTTTGTACGCATTTAGACCATCTAGGGCTTGCAATAAACAGACTGTACTTTGTTTATGTGTCTGTAAAGGTAAACTTTTGCTTTTACGTCATGCCTGTGCCAGTCAGTGCGTATTCAAATCGGATATGGTTATAATACAAGGAGCTTAATGGTAAACATATACAGTTAAAGTTGGACTATGAAAGTTTGAGGTTATGGTATAATTGATGTGAACAATTCGACTGAAATATTTTCAAAATGGTAGCACTTCCGGTTGTACCGGAAGTAGATGCCAACTTGCTCATTTTAAATAGAACACCCTGTGTATTATTCAATTTTCGGAATCTACGCATGATTCTAGTCTCATTTTGAAATTCTTTCTCTCTCCTACAAACCTTCTGTAGGCTAGCCTGAAATGTCTCAAGATTCAAAAAGAAAACATCACAATAGGAGAGCGCTGACGCTGACATGGAACAGTAGAAATCTAAAAATACCCCAGCCCTTCTGAAGGAGAGAAAAGACTATGATAATCAAGAACGACTGACGATACGGCTCTTAGTAATCAACAGCAAAACTTCTTATCGGCCATAATGATATCCAAATTGATCTTATTTGCTGAGATTTGCAATTCATTCCTGTCTAGCGATTTGCATTTCCTTTCATTTTTCACCGTCAGCGAAATGTATTTAAATCATTAGGTGTATGCTAATCACTGCGTATGTAACTGCCTACGAGATGTCAATTTGTTGAGTGCTTTGGTAGACAGAATTCGACCTTGAAAGAAGTCTAGCATAACGATGAATAATAGATTAACGGTTCCATCGAGAAAACGTAATTAGGAGAGCTTATTTGCTATCCCATGCGAATTAAGTCCAAAAAGTCTCGTTCTTGGGAAGACTCCAGAACTAATATCTGTCATTTCACAATATGCAAAAGGTGGTGCTAGACGTAATGGCGTTTTTAAGGTATCAAACATCTATTTTAGTTACTACGCTGGAGAGTTAGTATTGTAATCGCGAAACATTTCGAAAACGAACGAGATTTATATTTGTTTGATGTTATGTGACATGTACATCACAAAAACCATGTCACTCAATTCCGTCGGTCTGTCTGTCCGTCAATCCTGGGAACAGTGTTGCCGAACCTACCGATTTTTCGGTATTTCTACTGAAATGAGACCTTACTCACCGAAATACCGAAGACGTCCTCATTTACCACGATTTTTCAGAATAAATCAGATATTTCCAGAAAAATAAGGCTAAAATGTAGTCTATGCAGTTTTTGTTCCGCATATCATCAATCATACACATAGGTACATATGCGTACATTTAAGCAGTAGGGTACACGAGGGACGTGGCATTGGGTGGCCTTTAATTATGTACGAAATGGGGAAAGGAGTTTTCAGGATGTCTACAAAGAAGTTTAACATTTATGCATGTTGTAATAAAGGAGATAATATTTTTTAAGGGAATAGAAAAATATACTTTTTTCATGGACGGCGCTGCATGAAGCAAAGGATGTTGATCTACCGCTGATCTTGCGACGGGCCCTGATTGTTTCCTTTTACCGATTTTGACCTCAAATCTACCGAATTTCAACGACACTATCACCGATTGCGTATTTTTTTGGTTCGGCAACACTGCTTGGGAAGTACCACCCCGATTTTGATAAAATTTTCACCCAAGGTTACTACTATACCAAGGATGAAAACGTGTTTAGCATTTTTTGATGTTTCAGAGGATCTTAATCATTGTCAGAAAAATTTCTGCAGAAGTTAAGCATTGGATGTTATGGTTGGCAATTTTTTGGTACTAGCAATTTATAAGTTTCCAACCTCGGTAATTCTGCACAACTATTAGACAAATTTCATATATATTTCATAAAAGATTCTATAGATTTTCCCGTAGATTTGCCCTTAAATATTGATAAAGATATATTTTCGATATACGCGTGCTAGACAACCCAACCGGCGTACGTATGTCTACTTCAAATACTGAAGGATAACTGAGCAACGCCGTGCTGGGTTGCCATGTTGCTGGGCGGTCGGTACTGACAGTAGGGCGGAAAAAGAGAAGACACTGTATATCCTTTGTATTTATCACCGAAAAAAAACATCCAGTATATTTGATCTTTATTCCAGATACCGATAAATCGTGACCATACGTTTCATTGTCAAACTGTCAATGTCACATTTTTAAAACAGGGCCCGTATCGTCAGTCGTCCCTACAATCGTAGGGCGCGTTTATGGCCTCCTTGATTGTCATACTCTTTTCTCTCCTTCAAAAATTTCTAGATTGCACCTGTTCTGTGTCAGCGTCAGCTCTCTCCTATTGCGAAGATATTTTTTCTTTTTAAATTATAGGAAATTTCGGGCTGATAAAACATGATATAAATCAAAAGCATGCACAATTTGATGCAAATAGATATTTGTGACATAACCTCAAAGTAGAGCGCTGACACGGAAAATTAGAAAACTATGACAATCAAGGAGGCCATAAACGCGCCCTACAATTATTGTAGGGACGACTGACGATACGGGCCTTAGAACTTACTTAGAAATTTACATTTTGTACAACTTATTACGCTACAGCTTTTTCGCGAAATTGTACGTATGAGTTTGATAGATAAAGGTTAACATTTCAAAATGTACTTTTAGTAGGCAAAATATTGAAATTCGGTCAAACTCATTTTTCACTGTTCACTGTTCAAGATCAACAACAAACTCAGAACTAATTCATATCTTCTAGAATCGTATAATTTTGATACATGTGAGTAACTCTCCTCGGGAGATCGTTTTCATAATAAATTCAATTAAAAAAGGAAAATTTGTTCGTTCATATTACAAGAATAAACATAACTAATGAAAATTCATAAATTAAAAAGCGATCATTTGTCAGTTTTAAGTTCTTCACGCGAATCGAAAAAACGTGAAAGGATTTCCAAGCCAAGCGAACGCAAATGCAATGCATCTAGATCGCAACACACCTAGCTAGACGGTAGCTATTTTCTCCGTGAATTTTAAACGATTTTTAACAGCGATCACGTACGGTCTTTGCACGCACTTTTTTTTTGTTTGAAATCCAAGTGGGCCACATATGCGATTAAATTCTTAAA